AGCGCTTAGGCGGCGCCTAAGCGGCAAACTAAAAAAAAGAAAATCAGTGCACGTGTGTAGGTGCATATATGTCATTTTATATATATATATATATATATATATATATATATATATATATATATATATATATATGAAAAAAAAAGTTAGCAAGGTCGAGTTAGCCGTGTTAACTCAGCTAACTCGACAGAAATGGACGAGTTAACTCGGCGCTAGGCGGTCGAGTTAGGCACTAGGTGGGGGCCTAGGCGGGAGCCTAGAGGGGAAATCACCACGGCCTAGGGGCGCCTAGCGCCTAGGCATCAATTAATCGGTGCCTAAGCGGGATTTTTGCAACACTGATAATAATAATAATAGCAATAGTAGCTAGTAGTAGTAGGCGAAAAAACTCCATGTGCACGACAAAATATGCAAAAAACCAAAAAAAAAAAAAAAAAAAAAACAGTTACATTATTAAATCAACAAAGATGAATGGATGAAATTGCTCTACATTTTTTTTATAAGAGTCTTGTTCTGATCTTGTTTTAATGTGATCCTAATTATATGTGTTGGCGTGGGGGTTAATAAACATAAGAAAATACTCAAAAAAACATTAATGTTCAAAATTATAAGCAATATCTATCTCAATTCCAAAAAGTAAGTTTTCCATGATGATGAGATCATTATATATTAAGTTTTCGATGATGATGAGATCATTATATATGTCGATCCAATTAAGGAAGTAGTTGTCAGCCAGTATGTTGTTATCGTAATGGTCCATGCACGAAGAGAACGAAAACACATTACCCCAACTTATTCTAACACATCACATGCATGCACAAAGCATCTTATTAGGATGCTGTCTTTTTTCTTCCATCTTCATCATATCGAATCCTAATTTCTCAAACACAACAATTTCCTCTATTATTTGATTTTTTTTAACAAAACAAAAAACTTACAATCAAACAAAAATCAAGAGGTGAGATTAATAACATGCATGTTTATGCGGTGGACAAGGCTCACCGTACCTAGAAAGATAATGAATCATTGATCATATACATATATATATATATATATATATATATATATATATATATATATATATATATATATATATTGAATTTTCATTTTTAGTGTACTAAGCTAGTGGTTGTGGTTCATTAGAGTTGCAACACATGCATCAAAATAAAAGTGCAATTTATTAAAAATAAATTTGTATCAAAAGATAATAGTGTTAGGCATGTATGTTCTAGGAGCCAATGTTTATTGTTTTGGATATTGATTTTTGATTAAATAAATATAATAAATAAATGTTTTTATTTATTTTATTTTGACTTAATTAATATTTGATATTATTCCATACAATCTTCTTAATGCTTCATTATTAAGAATTAAAAATATGAGTGACGATGAATTAATAAATGAAATATTGTAAAAAATGTTCATAGGTATTCTAAACTTATCTAAACTAAAAAAAAAAAATTAAAAAAAATTAAAAAAAATTAAAAAAAAAAAGAAAAAGAAAAAGAAAAAGACTTAAGGTCTTTCCCCCTCAAAAAGTTCCCAAAAACGCTTAAATATGAAATAGGGGGTACGGGGACGCCTATGCTCTTCGATTGATTCCTTATTTCCTTAGCTCAAGTATTGCTTAAAATCGCCCAAATTTCTTCAATTTCTGACTTGTCATGAATAATTGTACCTTCAAATAAAATCAACACAAATGAGTCGTAATCCGCACAGGTTTTAAAGCAATTCCATAAATAAAATGGATTAAGGAGGGTTAAAAATATGAACAAAAATGCACTTATCAACTATAGTGTATAAAATGAAACTATATAACATATCTCACATATTGAGTGTATATTGTCAAATGGAACTGTAGTTAAATTATAATGGTGCTTTATAGTTGTACGGTAATGAAACTACAATGTGTTAGGAACAAGTGTATTTAGATTTTGATGATACCAAACTAACTAGGAATGTAGACCACTCTTTTACTCTATTCTGCATCTTTCGCGCTAGACGAAAGTTGTTACAACTCACCATGTGATTCGTGCTCAGTAGCATATTTACACGAAACAGAGTTGTATTTAGTAAGTTAGAACTATTTGAAGAAGAGAGAAGATCAAGAGAAGGCCGAGAGATCAACTGAGTCCAAAGTCATGGAAGGATTCATCTCTCGTGTATGAAGATATTAATGAAAAATAAAGTCAATCTTTCGTTATCTCATGACCCGAGACTACAAGTCAAAGCCTGACTTGATTAGACAAGATTCATATGCTATCAGAAGCATATTTGTCTAAGTCTCAGTGCTGGGGTAAATCGTCCTAGACAATTGGTGCCCTAGGAATGAAATTTCAAATATCAAAGAGCATTTAATGATTAGTACATTTTATATGCACAAAATGACAAATTGGTTGGATAATTTTTGAAACCAACGGCTACACAGTACAACCACATTTAAGTCTCCTTACCTAGAGGTCATTACACACTGGTTTGTTGTGTTTTGGGTGTGTGTTGGATATGAGATTAATAGATAGTTATTTGTTTAGTTTCTGTGACGTGTGTATAGACACACTGCCTTAAAAGCTAATTCCGGAGACCGTGCAAGTCTTTTAATTCCGGGGCTTTCGACCAGCAAACACAGAAGTATCTCACGTATAGTTTGCACAGAGTATACGTATTAATGCAGAAACTATATTGCATTTGTGTTATGGGAAGGCTGGGTATTTATATTAGTTTATACCAACTGCCTTCCCCACTACTACCACAATAATGAGCGCAAAGAAAGGAGAGGCTGCGCATAAACCATCCACTACGTAGCTCGAATTTCTCCTGTCCACAAGAATGTTTCAGGAGCGCAAAAATGGGACTAGTAAAGACTAATTCAAGAGCAAAAATTTCGGACAAAGAATAAAACTTTGACCACACCGCGACGCGCGTGCGAACCGAATGGGCGGGCGGCGGCGGTGACGCGCGCGAGGCTTCCCCTTTCCTCTCTCTAGAAAACACTTCAAAGGGCCCATTTGGGTTGGTAGTGAAATAGTGGGAAATATCCTCTTGGGAAACCAATGTGGGACAAGCCTCTTTGCTAAAACGCACTCTTTGGATGTATTTTTCCCAACATGGTTAATATGTTTGAAATTTCCATCTCCCTCCAACGGATGGATTTCTCACCCGGCCTATAAATACTCATCTTCATCATCACTTGAAGAATGTGCTGGTTTTTATCACTCTTTGCTATCTAAAAAGCTTTCAAAAAGATCATCCTAAGCTTTCAAAATCAGTGTGTAGTTGTGAAGACTTATTTTCATGAATATCATCCATTCATCTAAGTCTTCATAACATCAAGGAAATCTTGTTGCTTTTTATCGAAGATCAAGCAATCTCAAGCCAAGATTTCAAGTTAGAAACTACATCAACATATTCCAACCCTCAACTCTGAAGAAGTTGATAGAGGCGGAGTAAACTCAAGGAGTTGAAAAATCTAGCAAGTTGTGGTCCGGCTTAGTGATCAAGGACATAGCTTGGCTTTGTTTGTACTAAGGAGTGATAGTGCAAACCCTTTCACGAGTTGTGAATGAAGAATGGAGTAAGCTTTGTTAATAACCGAACCACTATATAAATCCTCTCTCTCTCTTGGTTATTACTTTCGTGCATACTATCATTTGCATTGCATATCATCCACAATCATCACATCTTAATCTTTCTATAACAAAAGCGTGCAAAAAAACACTAAAAAGAACACACAAAATTTTCGTTGTGCATCATCCTCTCGTGTTTCGTTTTTAAATTCGAAAAGAGTCTATTCAAACCCTCCCCCCTCCCCCCCCCCCCCCCCCCCCCCGACTCTCCTTTTACACTACCGGGACCAACACAATGTGTACAAAATGAAACTAAATATCAAGTTTCACATATTGAAGTGAAATTATATTGTCAAATGAAATTATAGTTGAATAATTTTAATGTTGCTGCAATGAAACTATATTGTGTATAAAATGCAATTAAATAGCATGTTTTACATACTGAGTATATATTGTCAAATGAAATTGTAGTTGAATTAGAACGATATTGTGGTAGTGTTGTAATAAAATTCCAGTATATATAAAATGAAACTAAATTATAAGAGTAGTTGGTAGTTGCTACATTGACCATAACAGATTTTTCGTCTAAAATTTTAAACGACATCATTTTTTGACCTAGACCTCAGTAAAATTTGCCTTTTAACCCATGGGCCATTGTCCAAGGACGACGGAAGTTTTCCATTATTGGATCATCATATATATCGTTCCAAAAAGGAATGTAGGTGTCGGTCAGTATGTTGCTAACTTGCTGTCGTAATGGTCCATGCACCATGAGAACGAAAACTCATTACCCTAACCTATTCTAAGCCATCCATGCACATCACATGCATGCACAAATTAAGCATCTTATTAAGATGATGGGGTACTTGGTAAATATATGTTAACTGATTGGGTTAATGAGTTTGACTAGTTGATAGTGCAGCAAAAAGTGTTTGGTAAATTGACTGTTAGCTGATAGTTGATTACATGCAAAATGACTTTCTCAAAAGTTGATCGAAAAAGCTACTTTGAGCAGCTTTTTGAATTTTTTTATTTTGTAGTAATAAGTTGTTACAAAAAGCTAATTAATCAAACACTTATATTGATTGTTTAACAAAGTTAAACAGCTAATAATGATCAAACAATCCAAAATTAATTGATAGACTAATTATTTTACCAAACATGACCGTTGTCTTTTTCCTTCTATCTCCATCTTAATTTCACAAGCAAACACAACAAATTTCTCTATTATTTGATGGTTCAAATGATGAAATATTACAGAAGTACGTTGTTTGAACTTCGAACATAAATGTAAAAATAAATAAATAAACAATCAAACAAATTGTGGTACCATGATTAGGTTTTGGCCTTTTGGGTGATCAGGAAAACTGCAACTACTACTCAAAGTTGTGCACGAGATAAACCCTAAGGAGGGTAAAATAATCTATATTGTCCATATATATATATATATATATATATAGCTGACCAGTTCAAATCGAAGAATGCCATACAATAGACCCCTATACTGAGAGTTGAATTTGAAATCTTGTGATTACCAAACCAACAACTATGACTAATTCATGATCGAATAATGATCAGATTCTAATATGCATGAAATATCATGAATTGAATGATTATTATAAGGTGGAACCCAAGTGGTGGCATAAACTGAGCTGTGGCCTTTCCATGTCAAAACCAACGTGCCATCCTCTTTCTTCTTCATCCCCCAACCACTCGCATGTTCATCCAACATAAACTTCACTTCCTTAACCGTCTCCTCGGAAAAGGGAACATTCACGAACCCACTGTTCCTCATTCTGGTTGACAACGTTGTACTGGACTCTAACCGCTCTATTATCCTTTGCCCTCCTTCAAACCCAATTATGTTCTCGATTTTCTGCCCCACATCCGCCTCGTATTCCGTCCTTTGCTGGCTATCCTTGGACAGGAATGTCTCCAAGGAATCGAAGATTATCCACAGGTAGTTGAAGCAGTTGACGATTCTTGACGACAGGCTTGGCGCGTCCAAATCGGCGTCCTCGTCGATGACGGTTATGAGTGTCGGGTTTAAGCATTTGATGGTGTCGAGAAACGTTTGGCGGCACGGCAGATATCGCAGCCAGTTTTGGCAGTTCACCACCAGAGCCTCGTCGGCGTCCCTGAAATTAATTAAAGAAGAGAAATATTATTGTTGGTGTATTATTAAGGGAAAATAATATATGTAATCAATGGAATACGACTCACGTCATGAAATGTTACTATATTAGCAGCTAGGGTCATATTTTTTAAAGACAGGGTGTTGAACTTGGCTTTTGAACAGTAAATTTGTATGTAGATCATAAAAAGATGAATGGTGAATTTTTTTTTTATATATTATGATTTGTGTACTGAGTGTATATTATTTGATAGTATACAAAATAATGTACTTTAAAATATTATATTTTAGTATATTTTTTGAAGATGTGCATGAGATAAACTCTAAGGAGGTAAAAAAGTCTGTCGTCTTGTCAATAGCTAACTAGTTCAAATCAAGAATGTCAATAGACACCTATCACTGGGAGTTGAGTTTGAAATCTAGTAATTACCAAACCAACAACCTTACAGCTGATCAACTCGGTCGGGATTACCCCACCGGGATGAAGATTTATTATGATCAAATATTGAAAGGCATGGTGGTCGACTTGGCCGGCCTTCCAAGCTTTCCTCCAACAATTTTTGACTTAGCCCTTAATGCCTTTGCCCAATATGTACAAATTTTATTGAGTAAAGAAAAATGAAAGAATAAAATGAGCAAATACCAATTTTGGTCTCATGAATATTAGCAAAATGACAGTTTTGGTCAATATGTTTAATTCCTACCAATTTTCATTCACGAGTATTGTTTTAGTACCAATTTTTATCCATGACTATTATTTTATTGTCAAAATTCATCATGACGGTCATCCTCTTCGTTTAAGATATGCCGAAATATGAAATTATTAAGGGTATTTTCGTCATTTTCAAAGTAAGATTACATTTTGAGAATGAATAAATGAATTTAAGCCCTAAGATCAATCCTAATTCGCAATTCTCATCCTCAAATTAAGTTAGGATCGATGAGGTTGAGAACTGCGAATTGGGATAGATCTTAGCGCTTAAATCCCTTTATTCATGTTCAAATTGGAATCTTAAGTTGATAAAGACGAAAATACTCTTAAAAATTTTAAATTTCGGAATGGTTTAAACGGAGGGTGATCGTCTGATAAATTGTGCCACTAAAAAAATAATCGTGAATGAAAATTAGTACTAAAACAATAGTCGTGAATAAAAATTGGTAGGGATTACCAGAAGTGTCATTTTACTAAATACTCGTGCAACCAAAATGGATATTTGCTCGAATAAAAGCAGTGGTGCACTATTGTTTTATATCAATCAGAACTTAACACTTCAACGTGGAGTAAAAAGTGGGAGTAAATAAAGTATTACTCGAATAAGCCAAGGCCGCCATTGTTGATGTCAATGACACTGAACTGGAAAGGGATGGATCTGGATTTAGCGAAGTTGGCCAAACGCAGCCCGACTTCCTCGGCGGAGAGGCTAAGCAATGGAGGCACCGGCGGCCGCCACGAAGGGACTGATAGCCGGAGAGACGACGGAGGCCCCTCCGGCCTATCCGCCAAGGCGTCAATGAGAGTCGGCCATTGCATGCAATGAGTGACGCTAAAGTCCAAAATATGGACTTTCGCGCAGCCCTGAACCGCCTCAAGAATCGCACTATTCGCCGCGCAAAACCCGAACCGATACCACGGAATAAGATCCACGTAGCCGGCGAGCTCCGTCACCGCCATCACCCTCCCGCCGCCGCCGCCGCCGCACATGGGGTAGCTCTTGGGATAAACCCTAGCGGCCCGCGAGACGAGCGCTCTCAAGAACCACGACGTCAGCCGCTGGTTGGCGGCGTCGCCGGTGGCGGAAGCCACGTTGTTGAGCACCCACATCACTTGCTGAGCCAGCGTGACGTCATTGCTCTCCAGTGCGCTCGCGCATTGGAGCAGAAGCCTCTCCGTGCACGCGCCGTCGAGGCTTCCGAGCAGGCACCCTCCCACGATCGCGCCGGCGGAGAGAGAGCTCTGAGGATTATTGTTTAGGAAGGTTGCGAGGTTTTGAAAAGTAGGGTTTCCTCGTACCACCTGCCCCATACTACGTTGTTATTTCGATCTCTCCGGTGACAAGAAGATGTCCACTGACCACTGGTATTAAAAGAGGGCAAATTACTATCCAATGAGATCACGGTTCAAAATCATGTCGCTAAATTGGATGAGTTAAAAGAATGTACATTATGTGTTAGAATAATAAAATTTTTGGGTTAAGATAATGCACATTATGTGTTAGAATAATGTACATAGTAATGAAACTTCTGAGTTAAGATAATTTACGTTATGTCACTACTGGAAATTATGTTCCGATCACATGAAAGTGATCTTAAATCAAGTTGAAAGCAAAAAGTGGTCAGAAATAGCAATAAAGATTTTTCCGGATACCAAAAGAGGTCGGAACAAGGCTTTCCACTTGATTTAACATCACTTTCAGGTGGTCGAAAATTCCATACTTTTCCGTAATGTGTGTTAAAATAATGTACATTATGAATTATAAAATTTGTATATTACAGCGGATCGCATAAAACGTGGTCCACACAATAACTGTTGCATAAAAGAGTTATGGACTAGGGTTCATATATTACATTGTAGCATCTAATTTAGAATAACATTACTGATAATATTTTAACGGTAAGCACATAATATATGATTAACACACAGTTAATTTATTATGTAAATTTAATTAATATATTATGTCTGTAGTTAATAAATTATGTATCTTCAAATACACATAATATGTACTTTCAAAAAAAAAATACACATAATATGTTAATTATGAACAAATAATTCTTTAAATATTTAACAATGGTACGACAGAGGGGGCGGTAATGAGATCTGATACGTGCTCCATTCCTATTTGTTGGGAAAACTCAAGATTGTCTGGGCCTGTTTCTCCAGCTTTCTTTTTGTTGTAGAAATTGGAATTTTTAATGATAAATAAATCACGTGTGTTAAATAATTTGTCTTGAGTACTGCTGTCCTTTATTTATTTAAACAAAATACTATGACATTTTTTTAATACTATTAATTCTATTACAATGTAGTATATGATGTACTTTCTCTATTTGTTGTAACTCAAAGAGTTAATACCCACCACCAGAGTTTGATCATGTGACCTTCTTCAAAGAGAGCCACAGATGTGCTATCTGAACACATGGTGCTTGGCATATCCCAAATGACCTAATCAAGCAATTTCTTTTTTAGTATATATGAATTATGATCATTCAAAAATAGTAAATTAAAGGGGTTAGTGTTATTGGAGCTGTCAAAATAGATCAGCTCGACCTATACGAACTGGCCTATATCAAATTTGTCTAGAAATGGACTGATCCGTTTTTTATATGAGTTTAGATTTTCACAACCCAATTCGTGATTTAACGTGTTGATGACAGTCAATCCGTCAGCCCACTTATTAGTATTTTTTTTTTTATAAAAAATGTATTAAAATTTATAGTTTTTGTATAGCCTTGGAATTGAACCCCTAATTTCTAAGTTAACAATTAACATTATTTCCAATCAAACACATTATAATTTTTTACAATAAACATCATATGTGTGTGTAATTAAATTTTAATTTTTAATATGTAATTATAATTTATTTAATTTATATTTAATACTAATATTATTTACATGTTATATTTTTATTTTATAATTATAATATTATTAAGTTATAAAGTTTATAAAATATATAGTTTATAACTTTATATAATTTATATAATAAATAAACCTTATATTAATATTTATATATAGATACAATTAATTATATTAATTAATACTTGTAATAAATGTAATATAAATAAGTTATATATAATACTTGTGAATGACATAAATAAATATATAATTAGATAAAGGTATCAGCCAAGTGTTTATAACATAGTTGGTTTCAATAGTATTAATTAAATTAACTAAAAGGTCAAGTATCAATTCCTATTTATAACATTTTAAAATGTTACAAGTTCCACTATATTACTGCAAGTTTTTTTGACAGTCAAACATAAAAAATAAAAGAGAGGAGCAACTAAAGGAACAAATTAATGTCACTATAATGTCATTAGTCATGATTACATAATGCAGCCCAAGAATGAAGTTAAAATTCACACCCGGACAATAGACATGCACTAGTTTCATACAAAACTCTCTCTATCTATCCTTTTCTATGGCCATGGCTATTAGACAATGACTTCTAAGGTCATTTATATGTACTCTATATGTAGTAAAAACTTGATCTCTAAAGGTCTATGACTTTCGTTATTATATTGTTTTTCACTTTTCACATTAATGAAGTCCTATATCTAATTTTATGTATGTGATAGATGAATAGATGATTGATTAATTGAAGCATGTACTCTATTTCAACTAAAAGCCTAAGCTGATAGTTAGATACACATTAATGGTTATATGTTCAAGTGGCGTTGAGATTCGAACTCATAACCTTCGGTCTGGCCATGATACCAAATTGAAGCATGTACTCCATCTCAACTAAAAGCCTAAGCTGATAGTTAGATACACATTAATGGTTATATGCTCACATGATTTAATATAATTGTCTATAAATTTTCACCATCGATACTCTTTAGCCGTTTCTTGCATGTTGACCATACAAGTTTGTGTTATGTCTGTGTTATGTCGTCAAGCAAAATTTTACTAATATTGAGATGTAAAATTAGCAATTCCTTATTATAATTGTTGTGGTGTTATTGTTATTATTGATAGATTGGGTACTAGCTAGTAGCCTAACGATTGACCTCGTCCTAAGTGGTCGGCCCAGGCCCATTTTTTCAGATTTGTAAGGCATATTTGCACATCATTGGATTAAGCGTGATTAGTGAGCTTTACTTTTCTAATTTAAGCCAAGTATCAATGATAGTTTTCGAGCTTTATAAATACCTTGAAAAGTGACTTGTATGGGGTTATGAACCTTTCATTTTTAATTACAGCAATAATAGTATGTATATTTCCTCATTTTCTCTTAGCAATATTCTTGATTTTTGACAAGTTGTGCAACCGTCAATTACTCAAGTTGTAAAATCAATAATAATAATAATAATAATAATAATTATTATTATTATTATTATTATTATTATTATTATTATTATTATTGCTGCTAAGAAACAAAATAATAATTGACATATTTATGGACTAATTATTTAGAAAATGTTAAAGGATCCATCCCAGCCAGCCGGTCGTTTGTCAAATTAAGCTATCACGAAAATATATGGTTAATTAGGACAGGAATTTATTTTATTTTATTAATTAGTAAATAAATTATGTTGTTGGGTGTTTGAGTTTAGTGACTGATTGCTACCTTTCATTACTGTCCATCCAAAGACACCTATACATACATTGGTGTGTAGTGTCACATATAGCCGCAAGAAAGGACAATATGAACCTTCGGGCATCTGTTGAGACAACCTTAATTTTAGGTCACCTCCAATTCTCCAAATCCTCGAATGTCTCTCCATTTACTTGGTTATGGGGCAATATAGAATAATGTTTTTAGTTATATAATATAATGGATTATCATTGAAAATTTTAATTTATAATTGTTGGGCCGCTTCTCAAGTAGTGGGTAATGATACGTTATCAGCTTGTTAAGAGTCGAGACAATATGAAATGATATTTTTTAAATGAAAAATGGTCAAATAAGCTCTCGAACTTTACTTAAGAAGTCAATTAGATCTCTAAACTTTTTAAAGTAGCAAGTAAACACATCAACATTATATTTTGATGCAATGGAGTCCAAAAATTGATTAGATGACATATTTGACCTTTTTCCCTTTTTTTTTTTGAATGATTCTTCCAACTATTTCACTAATCTTTAATCTTTAATCTTGAAATGAATTTTTCTTTTTAGAATTTGAATACATGTTATGATGCAATGATGGCATTTGAATGTTGATAAGTAATACACAATTATTTTTAAATGAAAATTGAATGTGTGCGCGCGCGCCCACAGTAAATTTTGATTTGTTTGACTTGATTAAACAACCAATATGAATGGTTGGTTAATTAGTTTTTTATAACAGTTTATTACTTCAAAATGCTAAAATTTCAAAAATGCTCAAAACAGTTTTTTGAGAAAATAAATTATACCCTTAAAGGCCATTTTGCATGTAATCCGCTATCAGTTATTAGCTAACAGCTAATTTACCAAATATCTTTCTACAACCAGCTAATGCTATCAACTAGTCAAACTCGCTAACTCAATCCGCTAACAACTATTTACCAAACACCCATGTTGCCAAATAGTCGTTTTGAGCAATATAAAATTATGTGCCTATCATCTATGTTGTTGTTGATGTGTTGGGCGGAGGCTTTAATTTGAGGGGTGAGTCTATCATCTTGTTATCGAAAGGTGGCGCTAACTGCTATACAAGTATAAGAAAATAAAGACGTGTCTTTGCTACTAGCTATAACTTTTGATGTAGTGATAAATGTTTAATCTTGACAATTGATTTCAAAACATCATGTTGAGTTGATCTTGGCATAATGCAAGTGCATGAATTTAGCCAATTAGATAGCTAAGAGTTTTGGGAGTATTTTAGAGAATATGGATGAATGATAGGTATGTCACTTATTATAACTTCTTTTTTATTTTTTGAATTTTTTTGGACCACCTATGTTTTTTTGGGTTGATATTTATAATATAAACATCATTAATTAGTGCAATTTAAAAGCAATTAAGATTACTATGCTTAGAGGTGACCACGGTTTCGGTTCAAACCGGAACCGTAACCAGAACCGTCACTGTGCTAACCGGAACCGAACCGGAACCGTCCGTACGGTTCCGGTTCCGGTTCTTAACCGGAACCTATAAGGTTCCGGTTAAGGTTCCTATAATATTGGAACCGGAACCGGACGGTTCCGGTTCCAAACCGTAAAAAAAAAAAAAAAAAAAAAAAATTAAATTGAAATTTGAAAAACCAAAGCCGCAAGGCTTTGGCTTTTCAAAAGTCTAAACCAGCAGGCCAGTGGCCTGCTGGCTGCCAATAGCCATGCTATTGGCCAGTAGGCCAATAGCATGGCCTAACTTTAGTTGTTTTGTTTTTGTTTTTGTTTTTGTTTTTGTTTTTGTTTTTTC